AAGGCTCTTCTGGGTTTTTAAAATGTTTATTTATTTATTAAATAGCATGTATTTTAACATTTTTATTGTTGGAGGGTGTGTGCACTTATTAATTCACCCAGGAAATAATCAGCACTCTGTATTTGTCCTGTTAGTGTGACCATCAGGCAGATGGCTCAGTGGTCCCGGAGGTGTGCTCCTCTCAGCCTCTGTGACCCCAGTGAAAGGCGCTCTGAGGGCGACATCTCAGGAGAGAGAGGGTGGCGCACCGTGGGACACTCAACAGAGAGAGAGGGGAGAGCGAGTGAGAGAGACGGATGACTGTGGTCATGCCGCAGTTCTCAACTCAGCTCCTTCCCCACTCCATCAGGATTCGGGGCATGCACGCACACATGCCCAGAAATTTTCTCAAGCTGCGGGGTCCAGGACTTGAAATGTGTTTGGCCGCGTGGGATCCACTTCCCAATACCTGTGGCTTAACTGCTGTGCTACAAGGCTGCCCCCTTTCCTGGGTTTAGAAGGAAATTTTCCATGGACAGAGCTCAACCTGCCTCCTGCCTGGCCAGGCCTTGTCACCTTGTGACTCAACTTAGGCTGGAACTGGAAGGGTGAGGCCTTACTCCTTCCATGGGGATGGACAGGTCTCTGGGCCCTGCTGTATCACTCACATAGGTCCTCAGGCAGATTTAGGGTACCAGTGACCCTAAAGGTCGGTTGGGACTCTAGACCTCCTTTAGACTGGGCCTCTTCTGAGGTTCTTGGAGGGGTCTGTCTTCATGGCTTTACAGGCTCCTATCCCCTGCCCTAAGCTCCTGTGTCCCTTTCACCTCAGCATCACTGCAGCCCACTCTCAGGAGCAGACCTGCCTTCCCAGCCTGGATCTTTTTTATACTGAACAAAGTGAATTACCACCTTCGGGGTTAAAAAAAAGACAAACTAATTCGCTCTGAGTTTTTAACAGCTGATAAAAGCTTGCTCTATTAACCCTCCCAGGGGCATTTTCATTTAATACAGGGAAGAGAATGCTTTAATTAAAAGAAATTCCCAAATGGTAGAATCTCTGGCATTATGTCAGACTGATGAGGAGACAGTTTTAAGCAAGAGGCCTCCCAAGGTTCTCTGAAGGTGGCAAATTCCACCTTTGGGAAGTGGTACCTGTCCTCCTATGTGTGAGAGTGACCCTGCTCAGAATTTTATTTTATTTTTTCTGAGACCTTCCCTTTAGTGATCTTCTTTCTCTCTTTCTGTTTTTTTTTTTTTTTTTCCAGAGGTTTTTGCCTTAGGATGTGTGTGCTTGGGGGGCAGGGAGGGAGACAGAGACAGTGAGAGGGAAAGTGAGAAGTCACCAATCCAGGGGGGAATGGCCGTGCTGCCATGCCTTCTCCTCCCAGGATCTTGGACACACACGCACATGTGCCCACTGAGTTTCAAGTCACCAGGTCTGGAACTTGAACCACAGTTGGCCATATGGGAGTCCAGCAACGTAACCGCTATGCCATCTGCTGGCCTCAACTTTAGTCATCTTTAAAGAGATTGTTATTTAGGCTGAAGATGAAGTAGTTTGGAAAGAACTGGGGGTTCTGTGACTACTTTGGGTAGGGCTGACCAGCAGCTGGGACACTGGTTTTTAGTTCTACAAAGCAGCAGACTCAGAAATGCAGGGAGTTAGAGGTAGCCTCCAGCCTCACCTGGCATTTTGTAGGTGGTGACCCTGAAGCTCACAGGGGGAAGGAACATGCCCTATGCCACCTCTTAAAACTGGTAGCTCCAGCCCTATGACAAGAAGCAGGCCTGAGTTAAACTGGAAGGATCTGCATAGCTCTGGCTGGTGTGGTCAGATACACAGGTGAACTACAGAGGTATTTGGGGATAGAAGCCCCCTCACCTCAGGGAATTAATTAGCACTCTACATTTTGTCTTGTTAGTGTGACCACCAGGCAGATGGCTCAGTGGTCTCTGAGGTGTGCTCCCATCAGCCTCCATAACCCCGGGGAAAGGTCCTCTGAGGGCAGACATCTCAGGAGAGTGGTGCACCATGGGACTTCAGGAATCTCACTCCTTGTCCCCTAGGTGAGAGCTTGAGACATCTGTTGTCCTTGACCGAGTCCCTGGACTAGAGGAAAGAGCCCACCTCTCCTTCCTCATCCTCATGCCTAGACTGATGGAGTGTTAAGTCTTGCTGGGGTCACAAGCTCCTCCCAATCCTGCTCCTGGGCCGAGCACTCGGACTGGGCAGTCCCCAGCCAGCATCCTGTGAGACAATGCAGTTTTGACCGAAATTCAACCCGAGAGGAAAGGCAAAGGGTCTCTGCCTCCACCCTCATCACTGGCTCACTCTCAACTCACTTGCTTCGAGTCCACCCCTCTGACCTCAGCCCTAATTGGCTTTAGGTTTAACCACCTCAGACTTGAGGGAAGGCTCTTCTGGGTTTTTAAAATGTTTATTTATTTATTAAATAGCATGTATTTTAACATTTTTATTGTTGGAGGGTGTGTGCACTTATTAATTCACCCAGGAAATAATCAGCACTCTGTATTTGTCCTGTTAGTGTGACCATCAGGCAGATGGCTCAGTGGTCCCGGAGGTGTGCTCCTCTCAGCCTCTGTGACCCCAGTGAAAGGCGCTCTGAGGGCGACATCTCAGGAGAGAGAGGGTGGCGCACCGTGGGACACTCAACAGAGAGAGAGGGGAGAGCGAGTGAGAGAGACGGATGACTGTGGTCATGCCGCAGTTCTCAACTCAGCTCCTTCCCCACTCCATCAGGATTCGGGGCATGCACGCACACATGCCCAGAAATTTTCTCAAGCTGCGGGGTCCAGGACTTGAAATGTGTTTGGCCGCGTGGGATCCACTTCCCAATACCTGTGGCTTAACTGCTGTGCTACAAGGCTGCCCCCTTTCCTGGGTTTAGAAGGAAATTTTCCATGGACAGAGCTCAACCTGCCTCCTGCCTGGCCAGGCCTTGTCACCTTGTGACTCAACTTAGGCTGGAACTGGAAGGGTGAGGCCTTACTCCTTCCATGGGGATGGACAGGTCTCTGGGCCCTGCTGTATCACTCACATAGGTCCTCAGGCAGATTTAGGGTACCAGTGACCCTAAAGGTCGGTTGGGACTCTAGACCTCCTTTAGACTGGGCCTCTTCTGAGGTTCTTGGAGGGGTCTGTCTTCATGGCTTTACAGGCTCCTATCCCCTGCCCTAAGCTCCTGTGTCCCTTTCACCTCAGCATCACTGCAGCCCACTCTCAGGAGCAGACCTGCCTTCCCAGCCTGGATCTTTTTTATACTGAACAAAGTGAATTACCACCTTCGGGGTTAAAAAAAAGACAAACTAATTCGCTCTGAGTTTTTAACAGCTGATAAAAGCTTGCTCTATTAACCCTCCCAGGGGCATTTTCATTTAATACAGGGAAGAGAATGCTTTAATTAAAAGAAATTCCCAAATGGTAGAATCTCTGGCATTATGTCAGACTGATGAGGAGACAGTTTTAAGCAAGAGGCCTCCCAAGGTTCTCTGAAGGTGGCAAATTCCACCTTTGGGAAGTGGTACCTGTCCTCCTATGTGTGAGAGTGACCCTGCTCAGAATTTTATTTTATTTTTTCTGAGACCTTCCCTTTAGTGATCTTCTTTCTCTCTTTCTGTTTTTTTTTTTTTTTCCAGAGGTTTTTGCCTTAGGATGTGTGTGCTTGGGGGGCAGGGAGGGAGACAGAGACAGTGAGAGGGAAAGTGAGAAGTCACCAATCCAGGGGGGAATGGCCGTGCTGCCATGCCTTCTCCTCCCAGGATCTTGGACACACACGCACATGTGCCCACTGAGTTTCAAGTCACCAGGTCTGGAACTTGAACCACAGTTGGCCATATGGGAGTCCAGCAACGTAACCGCTATGCCATCTGCTGGCCTCAACTTTAGTCATCTTTAAAGAGATTGTTATTTAGGCTGAAGATGAAGTAGTTTGGAAAGAACTGGGGGTTCTGTGACTACTTTGGGTAGGGCTGACCAGCAGCTGGGACACTGGTTTTTAGTTCTACAAAGCAGCAGACTCAGAAATGCAGGGAGTTAGAGGTAGCCTCCAGCCTCACCTGGCATTTTGTAGGTGGTGACCCTGAAGCTCACAGGGGGAAGGAACATGCCCTATGCCACCTCTTAAAACTGGTAGCTCCAGCCCTATGACAAGAAGCAGGCCTGAGTTAAACTGGAAGGATCTGCATAGCTCTGGCTGGTGTGGTCAGATACACAGGTGAACTACAGAGGTATTTGGGGATAGAAGCCCCCTCACCTCAGGGAATTAATTAGCACTCTACATTTTGTCTTGTTAGTGTGACCACCAGGCAGATGGCTCAGTGGTCTCTGAGGTGTGCTCCCATCAGCCTCCATAACCCCGGGGAAAGGTCCTCTGAGGGCAGACATCTCAGGAGAGTGGTGCACCATGGGACTTCAGGAATCTCACTCCTTGTCCCCTAGGTGAGAGCTTGAGACATCTGTTGTCCTTGACCGAGTCCCTGGACTAGAGGAAAGAGCCCACCTCTCCTTCCTCATCCTCATGCCTAGACTGATGGAGTGTTAAGTCTTGCTGGGGTCACAAGCTCCTCCCAATCCTGCTCCTGGGCCGAGCACTCGGACTGGGCAGTCCCCAGCCAGCATCCTGTGAGACAATGCAGTTTTGACCGAAATTCAACCCGAGAGGAAAGGCAAAGGCAATGATCCCGGAGGGCAGGAAACAGTGGGTGGCCTTTTGGGGACAGCAGCTGTGTGGTCTCTGTCTGCTTAATTTCAACCACAGGTCACTACCACCCATGCGTATGGGCCTCCTGCTATGGTGGTCCGGTGGTGTGGCATGAAAAGAAGAGCAGGGGCCCAACCTTTCAAGTGGGTTTCTCTGCCCCCCCCCCCAATGTGGTCTAAGCAGACGTTTTTAGAGGTTTTTAGAGCTTGTTGAGTTCGGTTCCTCGGACAGCATCATGGACAAATGCCTAGCTAGTGATCAAGAGGAAGTGGAAAATGACCCCAACCAGCCCAGTCGAACAGGAGCACAGCCTCCGTTCTTCCACATCACTTTTAATGAAGCACGGGCAGCAGAATACACAAGGTGGCTCGGATACACAGCATAGCAGGCCCAAGATGATAAGATACTTCCCCCCTCGTCTTGGGCAAAAGAGTAATATATATTTCTTTATGAACACTATTTAAAAAATATAAACTCGCAACATTCTCCAGGAGCTTGGGTCCCATCAGTCCGTAGGATGGCAGAGGCAGTCTTTGGGGAGGGCTGGGGAGTTTGCCATGAATATCAGGTAGTGACAAGCAGCAACAGGGAACAGAGTGAGTGGCAGCTGGTCTGGCAGCTCACCAGCATCTTGATCACAAATCCAGGTAGGATCCAGTGGTGGCCTTGCCAGTTGAGGTGGGAGCCATCTTTTTCATGGAGGTGGGGAGCACCCCTCTGCTTGAGGATGGAGAGGCACAGTGACAAGAAGGAAGAAGTGAGGGCCACAGGCTCTCTCATAGTCTTGTTGACCTGAGATAGGAAGAATGAAAGTAAGGATGGATTCTGAGGGGTCCCAGGACTGTTAGGTACATCGTGGAGTTGGCTCTGCTCGGGGAGTCCTAGGAGCAAGTGGACCCTGGAGCTCTGGATGATGGTGGAGCACTTGTCAGCCAGGAGTGTCTGTCCAGAATTAGGGTGTACCAGAAGTGGAATGCTTTCTACCAGTGAACTGAGAGAGCCAAATAGGGAGAGAGGACGTGAGAAACAAAACTTGGGGCCCCTTGAGGTTATACAGAGAATGAGGTATCGTAGAAGCCTGTGATACAGACAAGTCTGGGTCCTGAGTTTCTCTCATTTCACTCTTCGCTGTGTGGCCTTGCTGTTATGCGGCCTCAGTTTCATTATTTCTAAAATGAGTTACAACTGTTCTTGATACCTTGCTGGGGAGCTGAGGTTCAACTGAGGTGGCTGAAGTGAGTGTATTTTGTTATATGAATGTTTCAGGCCACTGTTACTAACAAGAGAAACTTGTAATGGGAAGAAACCAGAGTTTAGTGGGCCTAGACTTAAGACTCAAAAGCAACACCTGTGGAGGTTGGGAGTGGAGGGGAATGTTTACTCTCAGAGCTTGGGGACCCACTCTGAGACCCACACCCCTCCCAGCTTTGATGCCCCTCACCTCAACTGGACCACAGCCGCAGCGTCATGAGGAGGTTAAACCCGGCCACTTTCAGGAAGAGAATGCGGAGCCCAATCACCGACAGGTTTTGCAGGTTTAGGTTCATGTCTGTAAAACCAAGAGGCCACAGCGGTTATGGGTGTGCACGCTAGAGATCTGCACAACTCCACATGAGGCACCCTCGGTTTCCCCAGAGCAGAGCAGTGGGAGGGGTGGATCTTCCTCTCCCCTTGAGCTTCTGTACGCACCCCCTGCAGACTATCCCTGCATCCCCCAGGCCAATAGTACTGCATTTTGAAGCAAAAACACCAACTGGACTTGGTCCTTATTTTATTTGAGTCCCTCTGGGGATGGGGAGGGAGCTAGGTGTACAGAACGTATCATGGCAACCCCATGGGCCCCTGGGTAAGAATCAAGTGGCTGAACCACAGGACGGATGACTCAGTGAGAATGATTCAAATGGAAATGAGTGTGGGCCAGGGTAGGTGGTGAGGCGTGATGGGGATCCGTGAGGCAGGACCACTGCCTGCTTTTCTTGAAAGAGGGTAAAACCTTCTGGCTGGAGAGGGAGATGCCCTTAGGATGACCTGGGCAATTGAGGGTGATACCTAAGGGAGTCAGAAATCACACGACTGGGCTGCCCAGAGGCTCCCTTGGCTCTGCTGACAGTGGAGCTCTGGAAAGGAACACAGAGGCCTAGAGATGAGTCATTGCTCCAATAAAATTAGAGACTCATCCTCAAAGTGCTTAGAAAGGGGAAGAAAATCAGAGGTACTGAGAGGAAGTTAAGGAAGACCACAGCAGCAGCTCTGAGTAGGCCTTGAATTGCTCCAATAAAATTAGAGACTCATCCTCAAAGTACTTAGAATGGGGAAGAAAATCAGAGGTACTGAGAGGAAGTTAAGGAAGACCACAGCAGCTCTGAGCAGGCCTTGAACTGCTGTTCCCATGGCTTATTAACTTTACTCCCAGATCTACTTGTCCCTGCCCACCTCTCCTGTCTAGTCAGGGTTTATCACCACCCCCCTCCCAGTCCTATGCAAAGCTGGGCTAGACCCCTCTCTTACCTGTTTCAAAGCTTTTCTCTTCCGACTTGGCATCACAGGGAATTCCTAGAAGGAGAAACAGACATTTTCTTAAAGCCAACAGTGTGCTGACTCTCCCACCCCAGACCACTTAGTTGTTGGGCAGGTGAGCAGCCCAGCCACACTTCCTTGTGCAGAGGTCTGGAGGGCACTTACTGCATACAGGCACCTGCCGAGACAGCCAATGGCCCTGGCAGGACTAACACCCTGACTTCTGAGCATCATTTTATTTACTCAACAAACATTGACTGCGCAGAGTGCATGCCACATGACAGGCCACGAGGAGCCGTCAGACACAGATGCCAGTTTGGGGTCCAATAGGGCAGTAAGACATGTATGCAGGGATAAGGATCACAGGGGTATAGATATTTTCAATTGTTCTAAAAAGTCTTGATCCCTGCACCCCCAATATTTTCCTGTGTTCCGTTTCTGTAAATGGTGCTGCCATTGGCTCAGCTACTCAGCCATAAAGTCCAGTCTCTTTCCTTGATCCCTTTCTTTCTTCTCGTCCCTGAACGGTTCTATCTTTGATGCCCAAATGGTGTTGGCCACGCATTTTTCTTGCCACCACCTTGCCCAGACCTCCATCTTTCCTGCACTCACTCTCTTTCTGCTCCCACTCTTGACCTTCAATCCATTCTTCACACAGAAATGGACTTAGATTTCACTCCTCTGCTTACGGCCAATCGATAGCTTCCATGTACCTAGACTGGCCTGTCACCCCCACGAGGCTCTGTGATCTGGTCCTTGCCGACTTCTAACACATGTCCTGCCGCTCGTTCTTCCCCTTTCTCGTTGTGTTCCGGTCTCAGGCCTCTCGCTGCCTTTGGTATGATTGGTATCATCTTACCTGTAAGTCTCAGGTCAAACAGCATTTCCTCAGAGAACCCTTCTCTCACTTTTGTCTCTAAGGTGGCTGTTTATTAACCCTAAGTTAAAGCACATGTTACAATCTGAAGTTCTTTAGATCCTTCCCTATCGATGGGTGAGTTTCCCTGACTAGAATAGAACTTCCTGAGAGCAGATTCCTCATCTGAATGATTTGCTCTTTCACTTCAGCACCTGGTACACTGTACCTGCACAATCAGTGGTGGCTGAATGAATGAGTGACCAACACCATTTGACAGACAGACAGAAAGCCCTCTCAGAGGGGACTTTAGAATGAGGCCTGGAATAGTAAAAAGGGGCCAACAACCTGGGCAAAGGCAGGGAGGTGGAGACTCAGAGGAGGTGAGACTGGGCCGGGCCATTCCATCTCCAGTCACCTTCTCCTGGTCTATTTTTTTGCCCAGGACTTTCCGTGGACTGTCAGAATGGGGCTCACTGCTTCTCAGTAAAAAGGGGTCTGGGGGCTTTGCTGATAATTGGTGGGACTGAGACCACCATTCAAGGCAGCTTGTAGACATCATTGACCTGAGCTCTAGGCAGAACTGGGCCTCCAAGTCTCCAGGCCTCCAGACCTCTCAAAGTGAGGAACTCAAGTTTGCAAAGGCACCACGGCTGCACCTACCTGAGTTAGGGAAAAAGTCTTGCTCATCGAAGGCATCTTTACATTCAAAATTGGCATCTGTGCTCCAGGCCAGGGCGCCATTGCTCTTGGAATGTGTGGATCTCATGTCCAGTACAGTTGTGCCTGACTTAAATGCTTCATTGTCTGTGCTTTGTGATACGTTGACTTGAGAATCAAAATCAGTGAATAAGCAGACACTTGCATTGTTGACTTTATGTTTTCTCAGCTGGTACACAGAAGGGTCAGGATTCTTAATATCTGTGGACCAAGAGGATAGGGGTTAGAAGAGATGCTCTTGTTGACCTCTTAGCCTCAACCAAGGCTGGAGCCCAGAAGCCTACAATGGACAAGAGGCATGGCTTTCTGAGGCAAGTCACATTCTCAGGCTTTATGTACGAAGTAACATTTTAGAAACCAGCAACTTGTGACAGCCTGGGATCAGGGACTGACACAGTCACTAGTCCTGGCCAAGAGGTCAGGCTCTCTGTGAATGTTCTCTGCCAGACCTTGCTTGCCATTCAAGAAATCATAAATGCAGAGCTACTTAATGAAATAGTGCTCATTCTTCTACTCAGTAGGGATGTTTTCAGAACCTCAGCAGGCCTAGTAAACAACAAGCCCTGGCAGAACAAAAACAAGCACAGGAGAAAGGCCCAGCAAAGCAAACCATGCATCTTGGAATCTGGAGTGGTCTCCTCTACTTAGACTGGCATTGGCAGGCTTTGGAGGTTTACGGGTTGACATTAAGTTGGAAAATCCACCGCATCACTAGGAGATTTCTCTCTCTTATTGATAAAAGTTTCAGACTACAAGTCAGAACACTTGCATTCAAGCCCTGGCCCTACCATTCATTAGGCCTTGAGCAAGTCACACGAGCTCCTTACATCTCAGGAATTATATCAGAAAAATGGAAATGTTGCCTCATCCACCTTCCTAACCTAGTGATTTTGGGAAAGGAATAAGAGTTTTTTTTTTTCACACAACATTATATTTAATAAATCGTAAAGTACCACATGAATGTTAGAGCTATTGATATGCCAAGGTGTTGCCATGATAACATGCCACCGAGTAATACGTAGTCATGATTTCTTCTCTTCACCCCATCTCAGGAATTATATCAGAAAAATGGAAATGTTGCCTCATCCACCTTCCTAACCTAGTGATTTTGGGAAAGGAATAAGAGTATTTTTTTTTTTCACACAACATTATATTTAATAAATCATAAAGTACCACATGAATGTTAGAGCCAAGGTGTTGCCATGATAACATGTCACCGAGTAATACATAGTCATGATTTCTTCTCTTCACCCCCTAGGAAGCAGGAGTTGCTAGAGGCTTTTCCTTAGTGCTAAGACTTTTTCTTTAGCATCTTTGTAGAATTCTGTCCTTTAAATATGACTCTCATTGTTTATTCTTTCCAACTTCCTGCCTTCAGAGAAGGAAGCAGAGGTTTACCTAGGATTAATGTGTTGGGGCCACCCAGAGAGTTTCCAGCAGGGTTGGGATTAGGATTTCCTGCCCCGTGGATCTCTGCTTCTACAGCTCTTCACCATGTACACATTTTTTTTTTTTTTAGACTCTGGCAGTGGATCTGAGCCAGACAGTTGTTGAGCCAGTCAGGGTGGCTTTGGCAATGCAAGTATCCAGCTGGATTCAAAGCCAAAGAAGCCAGCCCCTGGCATGCCCTTGGGATGCTGAGTCAAGGCAGAGCTGCCTGCAGTATGGGCTGCCCCTGATGTAGCTCAGAAGGGTGGTTTCCCTGGCTGGATGGGGCAGATATCCAGGACATCCAGCATTCTGTCCTGTTCTCCATCCTCCACATACCCATGGAGCCTGACATCCCTGTAGGAGAAGGCCCTAAGGCATCACTCTTACTGGAAAGGGAGAGATATGGAATCATTAGTTATCAGTGGGGGTCTTGGGTGGACTGTGGAAGAGGACATGCTGAGAAAATGTGGCCTTGAGAAGAAAGGCAGAGGATCAAGCACCTCTATAGGTAGTGTGGCCTTAGGACAGGGGGTTGCTGTGGGGACCAGAAGCCCAACTTTGAGTCCTAGTTATGCACTCACTGGAATCCTGGGGCCCGCGAGTGTCAGACTGAAGAAAGTCTAGACTTTGTCCAATACGATAGTCTCTAGCTACTTGTGGTTACATGAAAATTAATCAAAACTGAAATTCTATTAATACAAACATCATTTCAAGAGCTCAGTAGCATCGTGCAGCTGGTAGCTGCTATATTGGACAGAACAGACTGACAGAACATTTCCGTTGTCAAAGAAAGTTCCATTGACGAGCGGAGCGTCAGTCTAGCAAGGGCAATGGCTCAGAACACAAGATTTTAAGGAATGGCAATAGGGGCTGAGTGTGAGACTTGAAAATCATCTTTAAGTCTGTGAAGGATGATTCCATGAGGGACAGGTCAATCGTTCAATTTGCTAACGACAGATCAAGATGACATAGCAATGTACCCATGTTGGTGTTGAAAGAACCGAGGTGATGCTTTCTTTCTCTTTTTCATTTGCTATAGGGCATGTATGCTCACTAGAGAGAGGGAGAGAAGGAGAGAGGGAGAAAGAGAGAGAGAAAAAGGGTGAGAGGAGGGAGGGAGGAAGGGAGGGAGGGAGAGAGAGAGAGAGAGAGAGAGAGAGAGAGAGAGAGAGAGAGAGGAAAACACCCTCTGTGGGAATGGCTATGCCATAATCCCTTCTCCTCATTCTTGTCTTGCGAGTTTGGGGACACATACACACAAGCCCGGCGTGTTTCTCAAGCTGCCAGGTCTGAGACCTGAACCATGTGGTTGCCCATGTGCTATCCAGCTGCCTTAATCACCAGGCCACTGGCTGGCCCGAATTGAGGTTTTTATGCTTTCTCAAATCATGCTTCTATCAGTTGATAAACTCTGGGCTTCCCTACTTGTATTTTTTGCTGTTATTTCTCCTGTCCATCTTCCTACCTTCTTATTTTCAGATAAAAAGGATAAATTTGCACGAGAGATACTTGATGCTTTTTAGCTTCATTTTCCTTTTATCTTCAAGGACCTCTAGGGCAACCTTACTTTTTGTCTGAAAATAAGAAATGAATCGCTTTTAATTTGGCAATCTTTAAGGGTCCATCTGCCAGAACCCTATGGGGAGAGACATCTTATTCTACCTTGACAACAAAAACTCGTCCTACCAGTGATGAGATCAGGAGCCTCAGCAAGATTGGATCAATTTTCAATGTGGACGGTCAGCTGTGCTAGATCCTAACTTGTCACTTTAATTCAAAACTAATTGTAGGGAACCAGCAGTTAGCGTAATGGCTATGTCGCTGGACTCCCACATAGTCAACCGCGGTTCGCGTCCCGGACCCAGTGGCTTAAAACTCACGCCGGGCGCGTGTGCGTACGTGCCCAAGATCCCGAGAGGAGAATGGAGGAGAAGGGATTGCGGCGTGACCATCCCCCCTGGGGGGTGATTTCTCGCTTTCTATCTCTATGTCTCTCTCTGTCTGTCTGGCGAGCGCACG